TGACTAACGCCATGCTTGAGATGTCAACTCGGGCGGCCTCCCTGGCGTGGTACCTGAAGGAGTCCGTCGTCCGTCCAGGGGTGGAGGAAGTGCATGCCGAGCTACTAGCGGAGAAGAAGAACTCGTCCTCCCTCTAATCAGCAATGGAGCAGCTGCTCCTGAATCAGGACAAGTACGACAAAAGGATCGAGCAGCTGGAGGCCGATCTTGAGAAGTCGAAGAAGGAGGCCGCTGAAGCCAACGATCGTCTAGCAGTCGCCCGGGGCGATCATGATCGGCTACTGGAGGAATGTAGTCAACTGAAGGTCAAGGTTTCTCGCCAACAGAACTCCGAGGCCGAGCTCCACAAGGCGAATCGGGCTCTGACCGATGATCTGACTAAGGCCAATGACGAGCTGACTAAAGCCAATGAGAAGATAGTCGAGCTCGAGGCGACCATCGTCTTTGAGCATGAGGAGGGTTTTAACAAAGCCTTCCGGCAAGCGTCCCTTCTGGCCGATATTCAAGAACCGTACGCCCTGGGGTTCGACATTGAGAAGGACGTTTTTGATGGCGTCCTCGTGGATCTCAACACCGTGGACAATGAAGATCCAGCGGTCGAGGGGCCTTCCGGAGTTGTGGAAGTCGTCGGGGCCGGGCAGGCTAAAGAGGAGGTCGTTAATGATAATTAGGTGTTTTCTTTTTGTACTTAATATTTTTTGGGACGTGTATTCTTGTGGACGCCCGCCCAACGTCTCGGGTTGTCGAGAGGTTGACCGGGTCGCCCTTTTTGTAAACGCTGGCACGTTTTAGTGCTTTTGTTGATCAATGCACAACTTCATTTTCTTATTAGTTTGCGTTTTTGTGATGTACACTTATCTTTCTCGTTTGAGGTAAACTAGATTAAAGTGAATCGTTATTTCTTTATTAATTGTCTGCCTAATTTGACTTGGGCTCTTGACGCGCGGACGGTCAGTGGCTCTTCGAAAAAGAAATCTTTGCTGACCGTCCGGCCAAGTTGACAGTCGTTCTTGGGGAACTCTTCGTTTACCGTCTAGCTAAGTTGACATGTTCTCGGTGAAACTCTCCGTTCATCAACTTGGACTTTTGGCGCGGACGGCAGTGGTTCTCGGTGGAACTCTTCGTTTACCGTCCGGCCCAGTTGACAGAGGTTCTCGGTGGAACTCTCCGTACATCAACTTGGACTTTTGTCGCGGACGGTCAGTGGTTCTCGGTGGAACTCTTCGTTTACCGTCCGGCCCAGTTGATAGAGGCTCTCGGTGGAACTCTCCGTTCATCAACTTGGACTTTTGGCGCGGACGTTCAGTGGTTCTCGGTGGAACTCTTCGTTTACCGTCCGGCCAAGTTGACAGAGGCTCTCGGTGGAACTCTCCGTTCATCAACTTGGACTTTTGTCGTGGACGGTCAGTGGTTCTCGGTGGAACTCTTCGTTTACCGTCCGGCACAGTTGACAGAGGTTCTCGGTGGAACTCGCCGTTCATCAACTTGGACTTTTGTTATGTTCAATGGGATCATGAGTGGAATAAGATGGTCGTCCCATCATTTGAATTAATCGTGGGATATAATGATACATGGCTAATTTGCTTCAAATAGCATTTAACTGAAATAAAATTTTAAGTGCGTGGCATTCCAAGTGTTGGGAATGGGTCGTTCGTTCGGTCGTTGTAGCCTGTACGCCCCGTTTCCTAGTGTCTCGACCACCCGGAATGGGCCTTCCCATTTTGCTGCTGCTTTCCATGCGCGGGGACTCGGCGAGCTTCTCCAACCTTCCTCCATACGAGATCTCCTTCCTGAAAGCTCCTGGGCCGCACCTTGGAGTTGTACTTTCGCTCTACCATGCGCTTGCATGCTTCGGCTCTTAAAGCTGCCCGGTCTCGCCGTTCGTCTAGGGAGTCCAGCTCAATTCTTAACTCCTGGTCGTTCAACTGCAGGTCTTCGACCTGTCGCCGCAACGATGGCTCTCCCAATTCAACTGGCAACATGGCATCCGTGCCATATGTCAAGTTAAAGGGGGTCTCCCCGGTTGTTCCGTGAGGCATGCATCGATATGCCCATAGGACTTCTGGTAGTTCGTCGACCCACACCTCCTTTCGTTCTCCTAGCCGTCGTTTCAGCTCCGCGACTACAGTCTTGTTCATCGCCTCTACCTGACCGTTCGTTTGAGGGTGCTCTACTGAGCTGGTGACATGTTTGATCCCCAACCCTTTAAAGAACTCGGCCAGCTTTTTATCGATGAACTGCCGGCCGTTATCCGTGATGACAATGCGCGGGAGGCCGAAGCGGCATACCAATTTCCAGCAAAACTTCTGGACCTGGGCGGCTGTTATGGTTGCTAGGGGTTCGGCCTCTACCCACTTAGTAAAGTAGTCCACGGCTACCAACAGGAATTTCTTCTAGGCCTGGCCTATGGGGAACGGTCCCACGATATCCATTCCCCATTGGGCGAATGGCCAAGGCGACACGATCGTGTGCAAAGTGTGGGGGGGCAGATGAGTATTGTTGGCATGCGCTTGCTGAGGCATCTTTGGACGAACGTCTTCGTATCAGCTTCCATGGTCGGCCAATAGTAGCCGGCTCTTGTGACTCGGGCTTTTAGCGTCCGCCAACCAGTGTGGAAACCACACATGCCATTGTGGAGTTCGTTCATCACATAGTGCGCCTCTTGCTCCCCCAAGCACTTAAGAAGGGGGGTGGAGAACCCCCTCCTGTACAAACTATCCCCTACTAATAGGTAGCGTGCGATCCTCTTCGCTTCGCTAGGTTGGACCAGGCGTCCGTCGTCCTGTCGAGACATAATTTCTCTGATTTCCGATCGCCAATCCTCCTCCTCGGTAGACACCGCCAAGCAGTCAATCGAGGGTTGGAACAACACCTGCCGCACGATAGTCGTTAGTTGTCCCCTCTCTCTTCCTGAGCTGAGCTTAGATAGCATATCCGCCCGGGTATTTTCCTCCCTTGGGATATGTTGGATGGCGATCTCGTCGAACGCCCTTGCCAGCTTTGACGCGCGATGGAAGTATCGCATCAAGTGTTCCTCCTTCACTAGAAAATCACCATTCATCTGGCCGACGACCAATTGGGAGTCCGTCCGGTAGGTGATTCTTTTTGCTCCCATGTCCCTTGCCAACCCTAGGCCGACCACTAGGGCTTCGTATTCTGCTTGATTGTTGGAGGCCTTGAACTTAAATACCAGGGAGTGTTCCAACAGGAATCCGTTAGGGCCTTCCAACACGATGCCAGCCCCACAGACTGATCTGTTGGATGCCCCATCCACATACAAATTCCACTCTTCCTGGCCGGTGGGAGGTAGCTCGGCTGTGAAGTCAGCGAGGTGTTGGCCCCTGACAAGCCCTCTCTGTTCGTAGCGCAAGCCGAACTCGGATAATTCTACCGCCCATGCCACCATGCGTCCTGCCAGGTCCGGCTTCCTTAGGATTTTTGAAATAGGGAAATCAGTTCTGACGACGATTTGGTGGCTTTGGAAATATGGTCGGAGGCGTCTTGACGCGTTCAATAAAACGAGCGCCAGTTTTTCCACTTATTGGTAGCGAGTCTCTCGGTCTAAGAGCATGCGGTTGACGAAGTACACCAGCTTTGGTTGGGGCTGTTCCTGCGTTAACACGGCGCTGATGGTCGATTCAGACACGCCTAGGAAGATATGCAAGTCCTCCCCTGGCGTCGGACGGTTCATGACGGGTGGGTTGAGCAGGATGGTTTGGACATCCTGGAATGCTTGTTCGCATTCGGCATCCCATATCGAGCCGGCCCCCTTCTTCATTCTTCGTAGGACAGGTCTAACTCGTTCAACTAACTTTCGGATGAATCAGGACAATGTTGTGAGTCGTCCAATGAGTCTTTATACCTCTTTAAGGGTGGCCGGACTCTGCATCTACAATACCGCTTCGCACTTGTCGGGATTAGCCTCGATTCCCCTAGACGTAAGCGTGAAGCCTAAGAATTTCCCGGCGGCTACCCCGAACGTACATTTGGTCGGGTTCAAGCGCATCCCGAATTTTCTGACTTGGTGGAAAACTTCCTCCAAGTCCTTTATGTGGCCACTACCGTCCGCCGATCGGACGACCATGTCGTACACATAGACGTCCATGCATCTGCCAATTTGCCCTTGGAAGATTCGGTCCATTAAACGCTGGTAAGTGGCCCCGGCGTTCTTCAGGCCAAAGGGCATCTCCTCATAGCAGAAGTTTGCCCGCTCCGTCGTGAAGGCCGTCTTCTCCTGGTCAGGCTCATACATTGGTATCTGGTTATACCCAGAATACGCGTCCAGGAAGCTGAGTATCCGGTGTCCGGACGCGCCGTCTACCAACGCGTCAATGCTAGGTAAGGGATGAGAATCTTTCGGGCAGGCTTTGTTGAGATCAGTGTAATCCGTGCACATTCGCCACTTTCCACTGGCCTTTTTTACCATTACCACGTTGGCCAACCAAGTGGTGTAGGTGACTTCTCTAATAAAGCCGGCCGCCTTTAATTTCCCTACCTCCTCCTCAACAGATTTTCTCTTCTCATCTCCCAGCCTTCGCTTCTTCTGTGCCACCGGACGGGCCTCTTTAAACAGTGCTAGCTTGTGAGACATGACCGATGGGTGAATCCCCGGCATGTCGGCCGTCGTCCATGCGAACAGGTCCCTGTTCTTCCATAGGAGCGATCTAAGCTCCTTTTCTATCTCAGGTTCCAATCCTGTCGCCATGGTAGTCGTCTGGGTGGGCTCCCTCCCTACTAGGACCGGCTAGGTTTCTCCCATAGGCTCCAGCCGGTCTTCCGTGTTCGTCCTCGGGTCGAGGTCGGCCATAGCGACTTCGGAGCCAGTTGCCCTCCTCTTCCCTTGGTGGGTGTACAACTTTAGACCGGCGGCACAACATTCCCGGACCGTCTTCTGATCCGTCCGGACCGTGCATATGGTTCCCTTCTCGGATGGGTATTTCATCGTGAGGTGGCGTGTGGACACGATCGCCCCGAATGCGTTCAGACATTGTACGAGGTGTTGGCTTCGACCAACAGATACTGGACTCTCTTTTCTTTGCTGGATCGTCCGGTTCCAAGCCTCGTTCTTAACTCCACATAACCACGGGCGTCCACCCTCTCTCCCGCGAAGCCTACGATTTGACCGTTGTAAGGGACGATGAGATCCTCTGAGATATCCATCTGCTGGAAGGTTTTCCAGTAGAGGATATTTAATGAACTCCCCTGATCTACTAAGACCTTGCTGACACCATAGCGGGCGATCTCAACCGTTATCACCATTGGGTTGTCCTGGTCGGGATCGGGTGCGTGGAAGTCTTCATCCCAGAACGTGATGGGGGGCATAGTACACCGGGGCCTATCAACCAAGTGCACGGACTGTAGGGCTCGTACATGGCGCTTCCGGGCGGAAGATGACGATCCACCTCCAGCAAATCCCCCTGAGATCGTGTTGATGTGCCCCCTTAGTGGACGTTCGCGACTTCTGTTGTGGCTTTGGCTTCGCCTTCGCTCGGAACGAGGGCGTTCAGTCCAGTCGTTCCTGGGTTTGTCGGACCTGTATGCCGGTCGTCTTGTATTCTGCTCGGCGGGTGCCTGAGGACGGTCGTTTCGTATATACTTCTTTAGCTTTCCCGCTTGGATCAACTCTTCAATTTTGTCCTTCAGGGTCACACACTCTTCGGTGGTATGACCCATATTCTTATGGTAGGCGCAATGCTTGCTCCCGTCCGCTTTTGCTGGAGTTTGTCGTTGGACCGGCTCGGGGCGTTCAGGGGGGTATATTGTTGAAAACGAGGACCCCGCCTCGGTTCTTTATGTTTCTGGCCGGACGTCTTCCCAGCCGAACCGTTGGGCTTTCCGGCATCCACCCTCTCTCCCCTCGACTCCTGGCTTTCCTTTCTGTATGACAACTTCATCTCCTCCACCCTTATCTCATCTGCCGCTCGTTCTCTCAGTTCTTCCATCGTCTTGGGAGCGCGTCGGCAGATGTTGTCTTTAAACGGTCCGGGCTTGAGAGCGGGCAGGACGTAACGGAGGGCGAGCTCCGGACTTAACGCCTTCACCCGCCGTACGGTTTTCTAGTACCGGTCCATGAATGCTCTCAACGTCTCGTCCTTTCCCTGTTTCAGGGTAACCAACTCAAACACGGTCAAGTCCTGTGTGCTGTTAGCCACGAATTGCCGGATAAATAACTGCTTTAGTCCGGCGAAATTGTCTATGGAATTGGGAGGCAGGGTGTTGAACCATTCGAGGGCCTCGTCTTCCAAAGACAACGAGAACGCTCGGCACCAGATGGCGTCGTTGCCCGTTCTGAACGCCATCGCATTCGAAAAGGTCTTGATGTGGGCCTCCGGATCGGTGGTCCCGTCATACATTTTGAATTGCGGTGCAATGAACTGTTCAGAAATTTGAACGTCCATTATGTTTTGGGCGAAGGGGAGTAATAGCGTGGAGGGAGGCTCCGGCTTAACCACCATCCGCCTGTCCTCGACCGCGCTCTCCACGTGTACTGACTTGGCCTTACTACCTTCGGCCTCGGTACCAGTCGGCCTCCAGGTCTCATCGCGTTCGATATTCTGTTCCGAACGTTCCTCAGCGGCGGCCTTCCCCTTCTCCTTCGCTCGCTTGTCCCCGTCCTTTCCGGCAATCTCCCGGCTTATCCGGGCTTCACAGTCGGCCTTCACTGCCGCCAACTCATCTTCATGGCGCTGTTGCATCTCGTCCATCTTTTGTTGTAGAACTCTGATCATCTCAATCGGGTCGTCCAT